GCCGTTGATAGAAGTTCATTCTCGAGAAGTTGCAATTTTGTATCATTCCTCTTCGAAAAGAGTGTAACAAAAGTGTCTCCTTTGGTGTTTTAGCATCCCGTATGTGCTCCAATATTTCTTCTTCAATTGTGGTCTTTAAAGCAAACATTGCTTTGCCTGCTTTAATTTTCCACTTTCGCAAGATTCCATTGGCATCTTCTGTCGCCGGTTGTGTAACTTCACCACCACCGACAACCTCCCAAAGGTCTTGACCTTGTAAGTATGACTCCATACATGTTGCCCACGTGTTGTAGTTTTTGTTGTTGAGTTTCTTGATTCCTCCAACTACTTGAAGATCACCTATCTTAACGGCAAGGCTTTGACTACACCGAACAAGCTTGAGTAACAAACGTGCAGAGTACTAAATTACTCTAAACACAAAGAAACTCCACAAGGTTTGTAATAACCCCGACAATAACTCAAGAAATATTTTCTGATATGGAAGATCAGTTAAAAACTGCAGCCACAGAGCATATTCAGAATTTCAAGAGACCTTAAAAACGTGGCTCGGATACCAATTGTTGAATCAAAATAGAGTAAAAACTCTAATTGATCGAGAAGAAAAAAACCCTCTTTAGAATAATCTCACAAAATTGCAAAAGGGAAGAACTCTTAAGAAAGCTTTCAAATGCTTATAATTAAGCTTTGATTGTTGGATGATAAAACTCAAATAAAAGTAAGGTATTTATAGGTTACAAGAAACAATCTAAACCACTCATTAAAATAAGCACTAAATAATCTAAACCATTGAAATTAAAACATGAGAAAAATACTTAATTTTCACCTAACTAAATTGATGTAAGCAATGACATCAAAACTAAATTGATGTAAGCAATGACATCAAATTAATTTAGGTGTGAACTTATTTAGGCTAATATTGAATTTTCAACATAGGTATATGATGGACATGATCACCTATGCCGATACCGATGTGGTGGTCGTCGGTGCTGGATCCGCCGGACTCTCTTGTGCATATGAGCTCAGTAAGAACCCGTCCGTTCATGTCGCTATTGTCGAGCAATCTGTTAGTCCTAGTGGCAGCGCCTGGCTAGGTGGATAGCTTTTCTCTGCCAAGGTAATCTAGAGGGAAAAAATATTTTGTTTTGAACTTGAATCTGCTATATTTAAAATGAAAGATTCGATTTTTAAGCTTTGAATTGTTTTTTTTTCCAGGTTGTAAGGAAACCAACTCATCGCTTCCTCGATGAACTCGACATCGAATACGATGAACAAGACGACTATGTAGTTATCAAACATGCAACCCTTTTCACATCCACAATCATGAGCAACCTCTTGGCCCGCCCCAACGTGAAGCTATTCAACGCCGTGGCGGCAGAGGATTTGATAGTGAATGATGGCAGAGTGGGCGGCATTGAGACGAACTGGGCCCTGGTGTCGATGAACCACGATGTTGAAAGCGTAGGTGGGCTCTCGATAATTTATATAACTCGAAATATTATTAATACGAGATAAAAATACGTTACAACGACGTTACCCCAATATTACAACACTACAACAACACTACACCACTAGCTGCGGCTAGTTCACAAACACAACCTCGTTATTCTAAGTTTTGCTAAGCTTCACATTCTTTCTTTAATATTTTCTTTCACTCATTCTTATTTTTTTTTCTTTTCACTTGTATTACATTCATATATCACACGCATATATATAAGCTAATTAAGGACGTATAGTTGGTTTTACATCCTTCATGCCGCTTGACTTTTCAACCTTAATATGATTTTGCTTCTACTTTGAAATGCTTAATTGTTAAGCATGTACCTACTGCCACCTTTCTTTGTAAATAACACATGCTAATTCTAGTAGCTTCTGCCAAGTCATCTCCTTCCTCATTAAGTTTTAAATTTAAAAGTTGCCTTTTTTTACTCTTTCTAGAAATCAAGTTTGATTTCTAACACTTCCCCCCAAACTTGATTTTATATTCCAAGTTTTTCTCTACTTGTTATCTCCAATCGATTCTTCATTTGTTATGAGATCACTCTTTGCAAAGAGACTGAATAATGAAATATTATTTAATTCATAATCATTGTACCTTTATGCTATTCTTTTCTCTCTTGTGGATCTTCGAACTTCTGTGGGAGGTGCTTTAGAATTTTCTATTATGTTGCTAGTATCGCTGCTATTGCTTGACGACGATGGTACATTTTGTTGAGGAATTTGATCATCAGCTTGTTCATCTTGATTGATAAGATCGTCATCTTTATCTTTATCTTCATTAAAAAATAGTCCTTCAACTTTTTATTCTTCTTTGCTCCATCTCCAATATTTTGCTTCATCGAACTTAACATCTCTTGAAATTATTACATTCTTGGTAAATGGATTATATAATCTGTAAGTTTTGCTTCTTTGCTTTTTTGGCACCTTGAAGAGATTTTTGCAAAATCTCCCACGCTTGTTTTGCGATCTTCGCATAAGAAATTTTTTCAAATGGTAGATTCGTCTACTCCTTGAAAAATAAAGAACAACATTTTTTTTTATCTTTTTCTAGGTTTCCTTCAATATCTCCTTTTCTTTATTGGTCAGGACTGCTTCTGTTGTTGCATTTTTAGGCTCGGTGTAAACATCATCGATGATATCCTAACAATCTTGGGAGCCTAGTAACGCCTTCATTTGAATGCTCCAATTTTCATAATTCGTCTTTGTCAATCTCGGGATTTGAGGTTGAATCATGTTGGCCATCTTTTCCACCACGTTAAACTCGAATCAAGCTCTACATATCACTTGTTGGAAGCGTAGATGGGCACTTGGTAATTTATAACACTCGAACTTTACAACGGCACTATTTCAATATTACAATACTACAACACTACAACACTAGTTGCGGCTAGTTCACAAACACAATCTCGCTATTCTGAGCTTTGCTAAGCTTCACCCTCTTTCTCTAATATTTTCTTTCACTCATTTGTATTTTTTTCTTTTCACTTGTATTACATTCATATATCACACACATATATATAAGCTAATTAAGGACGTATAGTTGGTTTTACATCCTTCATGCCACCATTGAATCTTCCTTGTTGTGGTGAAACTCTTGGTTGCTGCCAGCTAATTTTGATTTAAATTGCTATCATACATGTCCATTTGTTGATGCCATTAATTCCTCCAAGTGTGTCATATCCATGCACTTTAGCCACTTGACTTTTCAACCTTAATATGATTTTGCTTCCACATTGAAATACTTAATTGTTAAGCATGTACCTATTGCCATCTTTCTTTGTAAATAACACATGCTAATTCTAGTAGCTTCTGCCAAGTCATCTCCTTCCTCATTAAGTTTTTAATTTACAAGCTGCCTTTTTTTTACTCTTTCTAGAAATAAGTTTGATTTCTAACACACGACACACAGTCCTGCATGGACCCTAATGTGATGGAGGCCAAGGTGGTGGTGAGCTCTTGTGGTCATGATGGACCATTTGGTGCCACCGGGGTGAAGAGGCTGAAGAGCATCGGGATGATCGACAGCGTGTCGGGGATGAAGGCACTCGATATGAATACAGCCGAGGATGCTATCGTGACGCTGACTAGGGAAATTGTGCCCAGGATGATTGTAACTGGGATGGAAGTAGCAGAGATTAATGGATCTCCAAGAATAGTAAAATATATATATATCACTTGCTAAATTATCAAGGTCGAACTTATAATATTTTAGGCACGGTCTTATAATATAAAATTTAGAAGTAATAGAGAATTTGAAACTTTTAAGATGCTTTTGGCTTGTTGGTGACCATAATGTGTTGATTTTTTTTTTTAAAAATACAGGGTCCAACATTCGGAGCAATGATGATATCTGGGCAAAAGGCAGCTCATCTTGCACTGAAAGCATTAGGATTGCCTAATGCACTTGATGGAACATATCCCGGAAGCATTCACCCGGAGCTGATCTTGGCTGCCGCTGTTTCCGCCGAGACCGCCAACGCTTAGCCGTAGTTGGTCGATGGCTGCAATGGTAGTGGCTTAGCTGCTATGGAGATGAGGAATTTGAATAATGTGCAAAGTTGTTGGTAGGATTCGAAATAGTCTCCTGTAACTTGATAGCAAGGATCGCTTGGCGAAACTCTAGTCCGTGACATTAGCATTTAGTTCCTTCTTCTTGTTGTTCCCTCATGCCTTTTAATCAAGTAGTGCTTGTTTTCTCCTCTACTCTGTCTTCTCTATATTTACAAACTCCATGGATAAACCATTGCTCAATCTGCCTAGTTAAGCCACCATAAAAATAATGAGGTTGAGCAAGGCAAGAACCTATATAACAAACAATATTCAGACGGTGAAAGCAGGGGCATTTAACCTTTATAATAAAAGCAGAGCTTTGGGTAAAATGCAGAAACTGGTGAGCAGTCCTTAAATGGGTCCTCCTTGGTCAAATGAAGAAATTGTTTTTCACTTCTTAAAAGGTAAAGGAATTATTTTTAATATGAATTTTACATTTATATTTTATCCAAAGAAGGCAATAAAAATTGCCACCACTCAGCTATGCTCGTAATGGATGTTCCGTCTTTTCCCCCTTTTATTTTTTGGATTAAAATACGTCAATGGTCATTAATGTTTCAATTAGTGTTAGTTTTTACCACTTACGTTTTAAAAGTCACAAATCAATCACTAACGTTATCGTTTGTTACAAATTTATCACTCACCTACGGTAACAAAATACTGATGTGATATATTAAATCTGTTGACTCGATATATTTGACCCACCGTTTGACTCCTCCTCCTCTTCTTTTTCTTCTTGTTGAAGGTAATAAACTAATCATTGTCCAAAACACGCTAAACATATAAACCTAACCTTAATTCGGATAAAGAAAAAGCTTTCCTTTCTTCTCCATTAAATATCCTAACCTTAAATCGGATAAAGAAAAAACTTTCCTTTCTTCTCCATTAAATATCCTATTTTTCTATAACTTCTGTCTTTCTTTCTCTCACAACCCATGCTTTCTCAGGGTTTGTTGGAACTTGACCGGTAAACTTCGAAACTCCGCCATTAAATCGGATTCATCTTCTTGGTTAATCCAGCTAGGGTGTTTCTTTCATTGCTTTTTGAATATTCATGGTGGCTGAGTTTTTTGTTCTTAAAAGAGCTCGAGGCTTTTGAATTGTTGGGTTTAGAAAGCTTTCTATGATTGTTAATGGTGGACAAGGTTGATTTAATAACTTTGGTTTGATTTTTCATAGACATCGTTTGAGTTTTTTCTTCAACCTCTAGCAACCTTCGTTTAGGACCAAACCGGTTGATCTGAAGCTCATTCGATGGAGGCATAAAAAAAATATAGAAATCAACAAAAAACTAAATAAGATAAAACACAAATAGCTCAAAAAACCTATAAATGTTCACGCTTATAATCTAAAGTTGTTGCTAGGGCATATGAACTTGATGAATTTCAATTTTATGGGTTTAAGCTTTTATAGTTTTAAACTGCTAGGTAAGAAGAAGAAGAAGTGACACGAGGCAATCTAAGTTAGCAGATAACAGTCCAATAGTGATTTCCATCACGATTGTTAATGCGAGTGGCCAATTTGCAACAAACGATAACGTTAATTATCGATTTATGATTTTTGAAACATCAGTGATGAAAACGAACATTAATCTAAACATTAATGACCATTCACGTAATTTACCCTTTTCTGTTTTATAATGTCTTTCTTGTTTCTTATGTTTTGTTCTTAATTTGGTTAAGCTACATACCTCTTTAAAAGGGTTTTAGTTTTGAATTTTACTTTAGATGTTAATTCTTTTTATTTTCTTACTAATAAAATGATGACATATAACAATATATGTTACTTATTTTATTAGTTAATATTAATTTATAAAATAATGAAATGTAGATATTAACGTGGACATGTGTGGAAGAGAGCGAACTTTTAAAATTTTAGAAGAAGGTAAATTTATAAAATTCTAGGGTGAAAATAGATTATCAATAAAAAAATATAAAGAAAATATCTAAAATATGTGATAATTTGAAAATTTTAAGGGCACATAGATATTAACAGGGACATGCGTGGAAGAAAGCGAATTTTTAAAATTTTAAAAGAAGGCAAATTTATAAAATTCTAAGGGTGAAAATAGACTATCAATAAAAAATATAAAGAAAATATCTAAAATATGTGATAATTTAAAAATTTTAAGGGTGCGACCGACTTCGGTTGCCCTCCCTTTATACCATCCATTAATCGAATTGTTGTTATAATACAAATGTGTTAGATCAACTATCATTAATGGTTTAACAATCAACATACATACATACATACATAACAATCCATTCATTCGTCAATAAATATATATTTATTTCATATATGATATATATATATATATATTATACAGAATTGAGAGATTCGATTTAAACTTGAAAATTCATCCACTGATTACTAAAAATTTAAAGTTATTCGAGTTGTATTTTATAATTCGATTTGAACTTGAAATTTTTGCAAGTCGAGTTGAGTTTATGAAATTACAACTCGAAGTCATTTCGAGTCGAGTTTTTTCAAATCGAGTAAAAACCCGATTTTTAGAGTCTAGTCGAGTTTTGCTCACCCCTACTTCAAACCGATGTTGTTGGTCATTTATTGTCGATCATTGATTGTCAATTATGGCAATAATAATAACAAAATGTTTGTATTCGACTCGTCTTTCTTATAATAAGATTGGCTTTTCATAAAATTCATAAAAACTAACGAAAATTCATTTAAAAGTTCGAGTACTAATCTACTTCTGTATTGTCCCATAAGACTAATATTGAGATATTATATTTGTCTTCTCAAAACAAAATATTTCTCGTGGTTTGAATTTTCGAATAAATAATACAAATATTTTATTGTAAAAAATGATAAAATTCAAGGAAAATTGTTTACCCTTTAATTTTTGACAAACATGATAATCACGGTACAAAATCAAACCTGAAGTATGTAGCTTTGTGCTTGGTTTCATCGCCATTACAAACATCCACAGATTAAAAAGGAAAGATAAAGCCATTTAACCACTAAAAAAACATACCCACTACGAATCCTTTGACCACAAATCTAAAAAAAGCAAACACGTAAAACATTTGTTAATCGACGAAACAAAAATAACTAATTTTCCATGTCCGAAGCAGCCGCACAAAACCAGAGGCATAGAATTTAGCTACACTTCGTATCCCTCACGTCCCTTCTTCTCCATACCCCTTTTATCTCTAAACTCCAAAGGGTTGCACTCGGAATTCTTTCACCACTTCTCTTCTCCCTCCTCCCTCCGCCGCGTGGTGGCCGCGCGGCTAACTTCGCCCCCCACCCCTTTCTTTTTCCTCCGCCGTTCTCTACGTTCCCTGCATTGGCCACCCAAAAAATTAAAAAATAAATAAAAGAAGAGAAAAGCAGACATGAAAGTGTCTGGGGTAAAACTCTTATTTCTTGCATTAATCTTGATCCATATTAGAACTCAGACCAATGGCGCTACGCTCGTCGACGACTATGCCGACGAGGAGAAAAAGGCTCCGGCGCCCCCGCCGGAGATGGACAATTGTAACGGTGTGTTCTTGAGCTATTCTTTCACGTCGAGGACTAAATCGATGCCCCTCTTGAAGAACGTATCGGCTCAGCCGTGGACGTTTGATTCCATGGCCACCATTGTGAATGCTGGGACGGAAGAGGTAAAAGGATGGAAGATGTATATCGGGTTTCAACATAAGGAGATTTTGGTTTCCCTCACCAACGCCGTCATCATCGACTCTGCCGGGGATTTTCCGGTGGCGGTCGGGAACGGAACGACCATTTCAGGTTCCCCCAGTACAGACCTCAAGACATCGATTGACACAGCCGGGGATTATACTCAGATTGCCGTGCAGATTCTGATCAAGGGTTCTATGTTCGGGTTGAGCGAGAAGACCACTCCAATGCCCAAAAACATCTCTCTTGCAAACGATGGCTGGAAATGCCCCAAGAACACTAAATATAGTAAGTTTCGATGAATCCATTAATGATTATATATATATATAGGGACAGTACAATAACTTGAGGAACTCGTTATGATTCTACGATGATTTCAAGAAAGCGGGTTGACCTGCACGATGATTTCACGATCACACCATGCTTGTATGGCGAGTTCTCATGTTACTTTTATGTATGTCACCTAGCAGCGATGCAGTCCCAACGCATGAGAAATAGGAAAGTTGTCATGCACGTATGATGGGATCATGAAATTGTCATACAATCAATACGTTTTTTTTTAAATCATCGTGGCAATAATGCAGTCCGAACGCAAGAAAGACAAGGAACACGTATGACGAGATCATGAAATTGTTATACAATCAACTTACTTTCTTTAAATCACTTCAAAGTTATTACAAATTTCTCATATTAATATAATATTCATTCTAGATCATGAAATAATTTTTGGTACCTGAAATATTCAAGCAATTTGGCCGGATTCTCTTAGTTAAATCTGTGTTTTTCTTCTTATTTTAACCCTATTTTCCTATAGAAACCTACATGCATGTATGTTGCAAGAGGGATCCGAAATACAAAGCCAAGAGCCTCAAGAACCAATACATGCCCAAGCAAAACGGAGACCTCACGTTCACGTACGATGTCCTGAAATCATACGAGGGTAGCTACGAGGCACAGGTGACGATGGACAACAACAGCCCGATCGGCAAACTCGATCGCTGGAACCTGACATGGGAATGGATGAGAGGCGAGTTCATATACTCGATGAGAGGAGCCTACACTCCCCGAATGGATTACTCCGGGTGCATTTACGGTTTAGCCGGAAAATACCTCACAGGCTTGGATTTCACTCAGGTCTTGAACTGCGACAAAAGACCGACGATCACCGATTTGCCATTGATAAAAGCAAACGATACCAAGGTCGGTAAGGTCCCTTATTGTTGTAAAAACGGGACTTTGTTGCCGCCATTGATGGACCCGAGCAAATCTCGAGCTATGTTTCAATTAAGGGTCTATAAAATCCCCCCGGATGTCTCCCAGAAAGTGTTGTATCCGCCACAAAAATGGAACATCACGGGCTATCTTAACGCCCGTTACAAATGTGGACCGCCGATTAGAATAGATCCGACGGAGTTCCCCGAACCGACCGGTCTCGATGCTAAAACATACGCCATCGCGAGTTGGCAAGTCGTCTGCAACTTCACCACGCCGGAGAAGAAGAAATCGAGGTGCTGCGTTTCGTTCACGGCTTATTACAGCGACCACGCCGTTCCATGCCCCACGTGCGCCTGTGGATGCGACAGTATCGACACCAGTAAATGCAATCCCGACAAGACGGCGATGCTTATTCCGCCGGAATCCCTCCTTGTTCCGGCGGAAAACAGGTCGAAGAAAGCAAGAGCATACGCAGCGCTCAAACACAAAGAGGTCCCACGTAAGTTGCCTTGTCCCGACAACTGCGGCGTCAGCATAAACTGGCATCTCAACTCCAATCACAAGAGCGGATGGACGGCGAGGATGACGCTGTTCAACTGGGGAGACCTTCCGTTCGTCGACTGGTTCGTCGCCGTCGAAATGAATAAAGCGTACAAAGGTTACGACCAAGTGTATTCGTTCAACGGAACCAAAAAGCTGAACAACGTTAAGAACACAATCTTCTTCCAGGCATTGAAAGGCTTAGAATACCTGATGCAAGAGAAAAATGGGTCAAAATCAAGCGATCCGAGAATCCCCGGAAAACAACAATCAGTGATTTCGTTCACGAAGAAATACACACCCAATATAAACGTTGAGAAAGGCGGTGGGTTCCCTTCCAAGGTGTATTTCAATGGCGAAGAATGTGCACTTCCCAGTCGTTTGCCGAACTCAGGGCACGCCTCTCGTATTTCCATTACTACTTTCGTCTTCGTAGCCATCGCCACTTTCTTGCTAAACCGTTTCCATTGATGATATTTGGCTTTGTGTTTTTCTTTTCTTTTTTCTTTTTGTTGGCTTGTAGTATATTGGATTTTGGAGATATTTATATGTTTGTTATAAAAGGAAAGATCCAAGTAAAATAATAGAAACTTAATATAATGATATTATAATTAAAGATAAATACTCCCTCTTCATTCATGAGTTTAACATTGATGTAAAAAAAATTAATATTTTTTAGGTAACAATGAATCACTGTCAAAGACAGCGTGAGAATGTCAAGCCTCAACCTGCTCTGTCCAAGTTGAGTATGTTTCTAACTTCAGGAGGCAGGCTGTGAAGTATCTTCATTCCCAGCCTATCGTTCCTATCCAAATGTCGGCCGCTCCATTTGCTTCGCGTCTAGCATGGGATAGCTTCACCTTCCATTGGTATTGAAGGGGTTTCCGAATCCTCTGGATGATCGAGACTTCATTGGTATTGAAAGGCTGGGCACCGGCCAATGTTATGTTGAAATCCTCCTAGCTAATTGCTGGCACTGTCCCGGAGTAATCCTCCAGCAGTAGCTTCGGTGGTTCTCGGATTGGAGGCTCCATCAGTATTTAATTTGATCGTCCCAGCATTTGGAGGTCTCCATCTTTGCCGCAAAGATTGTTTGATCCCTCCTCGTTGTTTATTGCCATGGCTGCTTTTAATAGTTTGAGCCCATGTCTGCGAGGTTTGCATTATCTCCATCGACGATCAGACCTGTCCATTAAAAGCAAAATTATTACGTTGCTTCCACAAATGCCATAGAATTATGTGTCTACAGTAGTAGGCCTCTTGGTCCGATCCTGTGGAGGTATAGATGTTAGTTTGAATCCAAGCAAACAATGGTAAATGATAGAAATTATTAAGATTATCAATCGGCACTAATTGCTCCCAAACCATTTTAGCTGTCGGACAATCCCGAAGGACATGAATAATTGTTTATTTGCCCCCTTGACAAACTTGCATAATTGCCGAACAAGACCCATAATTTCTCTAATTCATAATTTAATTCCAAACTTTAGGATACTTGAAACTTAATCCAAATCATTCTTTAAACTTAATATTAGCATTCTAATATAAATTTCCACATTATATTTCACATAATACCCATCAAATTTACACAATTTCCAATCCAAATCCAAATTTCCCAAACTTTTAATTTGGGTTCCCAAATTTACCCAACTTATAATTTGATCCAAAACAATATTCCAACATCATAAATCAACATTTAATAATTAACTTTCAGCATAGTCCTTCAACATTTAAACAATTACACTTGTTCCCCCGAAGTTCCTAAATTATGCACCTCTTTTACTATTAGATCCACCTCTTTTCCGGTGTCTCCTGTCTCGAGAGATTCAAAATCTGACGGAGCTTCTATTTCTGAGGTTGATCTCTCAACCCTTGATGAAGTTCTGTTATCTTTTACTGATGCACAGATGTTCACATCGACTTTTCTCTGCCCTGTAAAATATTTTGCCTTCCTGCTTCGGAGAAGAAACGAATCAAAGAAGGCTTTCATGTTCTCGTAGTTTCTGATGAATGATTTTCTTCTGTGATTGGAATTATTATATTGAGAAATTCTATCTTAAACCAAAGAAGGCTTTTGTGTTATAGTAGTTTCTGATGGATGTTTCTTCTATGATCAGAATTATAATGTCGAGAAATTCTTTCTTAAAAATTGTTCAGTACTCTTAACTCGTCAGATTTATTTGGGTATTGAGTTTGCAACCCGAGTCTATGTTGTGTCTTGACCTTCATTCTTTCGTTGATTCCAGCTTCTGTTGGTAAATCTAGATTCATAAAGCTATCATCCGAGGATACAGATCGCCCTGATTTGGGAAGTGCAAGAGTCGTGGTTACAGGTGGAAGAGCTTTGAAAAGTGCCGAGAACTTCAAAATGATAGAGAAGCTCGCAGAAAAACTTGGTGTAGCAGGTATCTACATGAACACTACTCTTCTGAACTTGTAATATCATTGTTTCCTCGTCACGTCCCTTCTTCAATGAATACGCATATGTCAGATTTGTCAATGCGGTATATTAGTCTTTAGTTCTTTTTTATTGATATCACACGTACTGTTTCTTGCTTTTCGCTATAGTTGGTGCTACCCGTGCTGCAGTTGATGCTGGATTTGTTCCCAATGAATTTCAGGTTAGATACATATGGTTCTTCCCTGTTTACAAGTTACAAGCATGCTATAAGGAGCTTGTATCATGCAGGACATCTTACGTATGTTTTCTTATCTGCTCTGTATTACTCATTTTTTGTCAGGTTGGCCAAACTAGCAAAATCGTAGCCCCGGAACTATAGATGGCGTTCGGTGTTTCAAGAGCCATTCAACACTTAGCTGGCATGAAGGACTCTAAGGTTATCGCTGCGGTTAACAAAGATGCCGATGCACCCATTTTTCAGGTGACCTTCATTTCCAATCCAGAGATGCATGTCTGTCCTTGAGAGATGTGAATGCATGGATACATACACAGAAAGGGTGCATATATGACCCCAGTTCATAGATGTTAGATACTGATTGATTCTCACTGCCATTCTATATTCTTATACGGTGCAGGTAGCCGATTATGGACTCGTTGACAATCTTTTTGAAGTGATACCGGAGTTGTTAGAAAAGCTTCCTGAGAAAAAGTAGGCCTGTATACTTCCCAAAGTTGCAAAAATTGTTGAATGGTGTCTAAACAAAGATTCCAATTGAATAGCATTAAAGCAGACTTTGTAGTATTTTGTCACACTAAATAACTCTTCATTTGTGAAGCACCCAAAGTTATACAAAGTTATATATATATATATATAAGCATAATTAGATTTCAATCTCAAATATTTGCCAGGAAAGTGAATACAAGTAGGGATGAATAAAATTTGACTTGTTCGAAAAAACCAAAGTTATTGATTTGACTTGAGTATAAGAGACTCAATTTGACTTGTAATTTCATAAATTCAATTATGTTAAAAAGAAATTAAATAAGATTTAAGTTATAAAATATGATTGGAATAACTTGATTTTTTTAGTAATTAGATTGGTTCTCAAGTATGACTAGTCCATGTATATCTCATATGAAAAAAAATATGAAAAATTATATATGGTTATAGAAAGCAATTTTTTTTATTAATCGAGGGTAAGTGCAAAGTTATATATGTTCAAAGATAACTCTCAACCTCTTGAGATTGAATTCTCACACCCCTGACATTCTCGGTGTTCCAACTCGGATCCTCAAGGAATAATAACAATTCTTTTATCACGAATGCCACTTGGTTCATACTTATAGAAAGTAGTTTAAATTGAAATCAATTAGTACCATAATGTTATAAATATTTACAATTAAATTTAGACAGTAATTTCAACAACTTGACTTGAAAAAAAATTAATAAAATTTGAGTTATAAGATAGGACTCGTGATCTTGGATAACTAGAAATTTTTTTTATTCAACTTGAAAATAAGGATAAGAATAGAAATAGTTAATATTTTCGGTACAACAGAACCAAGCGCATCTAGTGTAGTGGTATCATAGTACCCTCCCACGGTACTGACCGGGGTTCGATTCCCCGGATGCGCATCTAATTCATTCCTTTTATGGCCCATCTGATATATTTTCGCAGCCAATAAACGACAAATACGGAGGATATTGTTGCCTCGCCTCTCACTGCCTAATACCAACACAATACTTAATTTTATGTGTTTGCCTGTTTCCCCTTGTAGCGTGTACTTCTCCCTCACGGTCTGGCTTCTACTTCAGATACAATGAGTCCAGTCGCTGGTTTGATGGATTCAGTTCATGAACCCAATCTCATTGTAAAGATTGCGTCAAAGTACCCTTGCTTTAAACAAACCCAAAATGGTAGCCTCTCGGCCCTCTCCACAACCACCCACACTTTCCATCTCCATTAAAACGACATATTTAAATAATATTGAACTATTTATCAATCGACCACACTTTTCATCTTCTCCGTTAAAACGACTTGTTTAAATAACACCAAACTCTTTATCAATCGACTAAAAAGACAAATATCATCGTTTGTTTTATAATTTAAGAATAATTCTATACGACTCTAATTAGTATTATGATAAAACTCTCTTAATAATAACTCTATCCGAACTTGGTTCAAGTGTAGGCTCATCCATCGATAAATGTGACATGTGATACGTCACAATGTCTCAAAATTTGAGGGGTCTACACTTTAGAAAAATATCACGCTTTTATTTTTAAGAATGTTTGAAGGGTGATACTTTTTTAAATAAAATATCACAATTATTGAGTTATTCTGTGACGTTGTTTTAATTTCATATGTTTAGATTTTTTTATTTTATAAGAAATAATTGTCATACGATAAAATTTGATATTTTACAGTTTTGTCTTATTATAAAGGGTAAATTATATCGTTCCTCATTGTATTATACTCTCTCTCCTATTTTCCTCACCCAACTTTCAATTTTTCTATTTTGCTCACTAAACTTTACAAATTGAATCATTTTGCTCACTATTCCGTTTCCTCTCTAACAGTTGTTGATGTGGTGTTTATTATTATTATTTAATATAAAATAATTAAAAATTTAAAATAAAAACATAAGGTGGTTGGATATCACCGCCGGTCACCGTTGACTGCCGTAGATGGTGGTCGTTTGGTCCTAAAATTGGATGGGTCGTTTCGCCTCGATGTCGTGAGTTCGAATCCGACCTCTATTTTGTCGGAAGTTGCTCCAAAGTCCAAGAATTTGAGATTGAAAGTGAGGAAATCGAAACTTTTTAGTCCAAATTCACGGGTTTTAGGATATTTTTTAACCACCAGATTCGGACTCAGGGGATCGAGACGAACTGACCCATCCCATTATGGGATCAAATGACCACCATCTATGGCAGTTGAAAGTGGTCGGAATGAAAATGACATGGTGGCCGGTGGAGAGAAAATGGAGAAAAGAAGAAAAAAGGATGAATTACACCACTAGTCATTAAACTTTACTCTATCTCATATTTTACTCACCAAAACGACGACGTTTTAGAATATATTTGAGTTTTTCCAAACGGCGTCGTTTTGATTCTTGTGCCATGTCATAATACCGTTGAAAAGTTAACA